TTACCATATATGTGCCCTCTTGCCCAGCTTGTGTAGAGTTTTGGGCTGGGGTGCCATCAGTACACTGATGATACCCAGCTATATCTGCTGGTGGACAGCTGCCTGGACACCGCCCCGGGAAATCTGACTGAGGATTTGGAGTCTGTGGTGAGGTGATTGAAGCAGAGTCAGTTGAGACTGAATCTAGAGGTTCTCTGACTGGGTGGGGGAAATTCAGGATTTGGGCGCCAACTCTCAGCTCTTGATCACGTGCCATTAACACTGGCACAAATGGTTAAGAGCTTGGGTATGTTTCTGGATGCCTCCTTATCCATGGAGGCCCAGATCACAAACTTTGCCAGACTGGTGTTTACCCAACTACGCTAGATCAGGCCCCCTACCTGTCTCGACCTGACCTAGCCACAGTAATCCATGTAACAGTCACCTCTAGGCTTTACTGTAACTAACTCTACGCAGGGCTACCCTGGAGACTGATCCAAAAGTTACATCTGGTCTAGAATGCAGCAGCCTGGGTCCTTACAGGGACATGATCAACAGCACATATACAACCTGTGCTTTGCCAACTGCACTGCCTCCAGATTGAGTACCGGGTCAGGTTCAGGGTTCTAGTCTTGACCTTTAAGGCCCTAAATGGTCAACGTACCTGTAGGACTGCCTCTCTTGGTATGTTCCCAGGAGAGTGCTGCACTCAGGAGAACAAAAAATTGCTGGAAGTCCCTGGCCCAAAGAGCGTTCAGCTGTCCTCAACCACAGCATGGGCTTTTTTAGCCCTGGCTCTGACTTGGTGGAACTCTGCCAAATGACATCAGGGCCATGTTGGACTTGTTACAGTTCCACAGGGCCTGCAAGGCAGAGATGGTTGAGGACACCAATGGTTCCCCCCCCCCCCCCCCCCCCCCGGTCAGTGGGTATTAGAGATTTATGTGTTATGGTGACATATAGGTTTATGACATTACATGACTTCTGTATATTAGTACACTGAATTTTAATATATTCTCTTGTTTTAAACTGTTGTACACTGCCCTGAGCCCGCTCTGCAGGGAGGACAGTATAAAAGCCTAATAAATAAATTTATGCTGGTTTAAGAACATAAGAGACGCCAATGTTGGATCAGGCCAAAGGCCCATCCAGTCCAACACTCTGTGTCACACAGTGGCCAAAAATACCAGGTGCCATCAGGAGGTCCACCAGTGGGGCCAGGACATTAGAAGCCCTCCCACTGTTGACCCCCCCCAAGCACCAAGATGACAGAGCATCACTTGCCCCAGAGTCCCTATCTATACCTTGTGGCTAATAGCCACTGATGGACCTCTGCTCCATATGCTTATCTAATTCCCGTTTGAAGCCATCCATGCTTGTAGCCGCCACCACTTCCTGTGGCAGTGAATTCCAAGTGTTAATCACTCTTTGGGTGAAGAAGTACTACCTTTTATCCGTTCTAACTCGACCACTCAGCAATTTCATGGAGTGCCCACAAGTTCTTGTATTGTGATCCAAGTGTTAATCACTCTTTGGGTGAAGAAGTACTTCCTTTTATCCGTTCTAACCCGACCGCTCAGCAATTTCATGGAGTGCCCACGGGTTCTTGTATTGTGAGAAAGGGAGAAAAGTACCTCTTTCTCTACCTGCTCTTTCCCATGCATAATCTTATAAACCTCAATCATGTCACCTCTCAGTCATTGTTTCTCCAAGCTAAAGAGCTGTAAGCGCTTTAACCTTTCCTCATAGGGAAAGTGTTCCAACCCTTTTATCATCGAGTTGCCCTTTTCTGCACTTTTTCCAAAGCTTTAATATTCTTTTTAAGGTGTGGTGACTAGAACTGCACACAGTATTCCAAATGAAGTCGCACCATTGATTTATATACAAGCATTATGATATTGGCTGATCAGTTTTCAATACCCTTCCTAATAATCCCCAGCATAGCATTGGCCTTTTTTATTGCAGTCACACACTGTCTCGACATTTTCAGTGAGTTATCTACTACAACTCCAAGATCTCTCTCTTGATCTGTCTCTGCCAGTTCAGACCCCATCAACGTGTATTTATAGTTAGGATTTTTGGCTCCAATGTGCATCACCTTGCACTTGGCCACATTGAACCCCATTTGCCATGTTGACGCCCACTCGCCCAACTTTGACAGATCCCTTTGGAGTGCCTCACAATCCTCACTGGTTTTCACCACCCTGAACAACTTCGTATCATCCGCAAATTTAGCCACTTCACTGCTTACTCCCAACTCCAAATCATTAATGAACAAGTTAAAAAGCAGTGGACCAAGTACTGATCCCTGTGGTACCCCACTGCTTACACCCCTCCACTGGGAGAACTGCCCATTTATACTCACTCTCTGTTTTCTATTAATTAGCCAGTTTTTGATCCATAAAAGGACTTGTCCTTTTATCCCATGATTTTTGAGCTTGCTTAGGAGCCTTTGATGAGGAACTTTATCAAAAGCTTTCTGGAAGTCAAGGTAAACAATATCTATTGGATCCCCCTTGTCCACATGTTTGTTCACCCCCTCAAAGAACATTAACAGGTTAGTGAGACAAGATCTTCCCTTACAGAACCCATGTTGAGTCTGCCTCAATAGGTTTTGTTCATCTATGTGCCTACTAATTCTTTCCTTAATAATGGTTTCCACCAATTTACCCGGTATCGACGTCAGACTGACAGGCCTGTAATTTCCCGGATCTCCTCTGGAACCCTTTTTAAAGATGGGAGTGACATTAGCTACCTTCCAGTCCTCAGGAATGGAGGCTGATTTTAAGGAGAGATTACATATTTTTGTCAGGAGATCCACAAGTTCACAATTGAGTTCTTTCAGAACTCTTGGATGTATGCCATCTGGGCCTGGTGATTTATCAGTTTTTAAGTTGTTTATCAGTTTTAGGACCTCCTCTCTCGTCACCTCAATCTGACTCAGGTCTTTCAACACCCCTCCCGAACTCAGCGGCTCTGGAGTGGGCAAGCACCTCTCATCTTCCACAGTGAAGACGGAGGCAAAAAATGCATTTAGCTTCTCAGCCATTTCCCTATCATCCTTCAGTACTCCTTTTACCCCTTGGTCATCCAAGGGCCCCACTGCCTCCCTGGCTGGTTTCCTGTTTCTAATGTATTTGAAGAAAGTTTTATTGTTGGTCTTTACATTTTTTGCTATATGCTCCTCATATTCCCTTTTTGCATGCCTGACCACAGACTTGCATTTTATTTGCCATAGCCTGTGTTCTGTTTTATCAGCCTCACTGTGACTAGCTTTCCACCGCTTAAAGGAATCCTTTTTACCTTTTACAGCTTCCATTACTTTGTTTGTTAACCATGTAGGCTTTTTCTTATACCTGTTTGTGCCTTTCCTAACCTGCGGAATATATTTTATTTGAGCTTCTAGAATTGTAGTTTTAAACAGTTTCCAAGCTTCCCCAATGGTTTTGACCCTTTCTACTTTTCCCTTCAGTTTCCTCCCCACATGTCCCCTCATATCAGAAAAATTACCCCTTTTAAAGTTAAAAGTGGTTGTGTGAGTCTTTTTGGCCAATTCCCTATTTGTACAAATGTTGAACTCAACAACATTATGATCACTGTTCCCAAGCGGTGCAATCACTTTTACATCTCTCACCAGGTCTTGAGTGTTACTTAGGACCAAATCAAGGATCGCCTCTCCCCTGGTAGGTTCCATGACCATCTGCTCCATAGCACAGTCATTTAGAGTGTCTAGAAACTCAATCTCTTTCTCTCGACTAGAACACATATTGACCCAATCAATGTGTGGGTAGTTAAAATCACCTATTACGACACAGTGTTTTTGTCTAGCTGCTATCTTTAATTCATTCATCATTTTATAATCCTCCTCTATCTTTTGATCCGGTGGGCGATAACAAACTCCCAGTGTTAAGTTTCCTTTTGGCCCCCCTATTTCAACCCACAGAACTTCAAGAAGCGAATCCAATTCTCTTAGCCTCTCGATCTTTCTGGACTTTATACCCTCTCTGACATACAGAGCCACCCCACCTCCAACCCTTCCCCCCCTATCCTTCCGATATAATATATAACCGGGAATCACCGTATCCCACTGATTTTCCTCATCCCACCAAGTTTCTGAAATACCCACAATGTCTATTTTTCCCTCTGACACCAAGCACTCCAACTCCCCGATTTTACCTCGGACACTTCGAGCATTTGTATAGAAACAGCTGTAATTTCCCATACTGGTTAAGCCTGCCACCTTCCTCTTGCAATCTCGAGACCTTGTCAGGCAGTCCATGTCACTAGCCATGGTCTCAGTGGACAATTTCAATCCACCTCCCTGTAGAAAAGCAACAGGTACCCCCTCATCTCTCTGAGATGAGCCAACCCGAACCAGAGACTTTTCATCTCCTGTCGGCTTTCCCCCAATATTCAGTTTAAAAACTGCTCTGCCACCTTTTTGATTTTAAGCGGCAGCAGCCTGGTTCCTTCTTGGGACAAGTGGAGACTGTCTCGTCTGTACATCTCCCTCTTGTTCCAAAAAGCATTCCAGTGCCTAACAAACTTGAACCCTTCCCCCCTACACCATCATCTCATCCACGCATTGAAACTCCTGATCTGTGCCTGTCTCTCCAGCCCTGCACGTGGATCAGGTAGCACTTCTGAGAAGGCTACCTTGGAGGTCCTGGATCTAAGTTTCCTGCCCAGCAGCCTAAATTTCTCCTCCAGGTTTAGATGTCTGCATTGTGAACCAGATGAAAGGTCTATGCTGTCTTCAAGAAAGCATATCCAGAGTGCATTACTGTAGCCTAACCTACTATTACTTATATTGTGTGAATAAAAATTATTTTAATTTGATGCACTTCAGTTTCATTAGATATTTTCCCGTTCTGATATTACTTTTTCAAATCAACTTGTGAGTATGATCTAGTCATATTACCACAGTGGTTTCTTTTAAGATGGAGAATCATTTTAGCCTTTACTGAAATGGTAATTTAGGCAGATAAAGATTTGTTGCCAATGATTTTGTCCTTTTGTAGATTCGGTGGAAGTATATGATTGTAGATGAAGGTCATCGAATGAAGAACCATCATTGCAAGCTGACTCAGGTGTTGAATACTCATTATGTAGCCCCAAGACGGATTCTTTTGACTGGAACTCCATTGCAGAATAAACTGCCTGAACTTTGGGCTCTTCTTAACTTCCTCCTTCCAACAATTTTCAAGAGCTGCAGCACCTTTGAACAGTGGTTCAATGCCCCCTTTGCCATGACTGGAGAAAGGGTACTGGTCTATTTTATTTAAACTTAAATTCACAGAAATTTAAATAGATGCAGTGTAAAATCTGTATTATACTTGGGGCATACATTTTACTTTAACATAATAATGTTACAGCTTTAAAGGACTTCAAAGAACATATCTCTTCAGAGTCTTCTAAAATGAATAGAAGCATGGCATGATTTATACAATATAAATCCATTTATACTGGGGGAAAATGATGAAACTTGCAAATTTTCTGTTGTTAAGAGCATGTAATTTTTGGTCGTTATGTTCCTGCAGGTGGATTTAAATGAGGAGGAAACTATTTTGATCATTCGGCGCCTCCACAAAGTTCTGCGACCCTTCCTGCTAAGGAGGCTGAAGAAAGAAGTTGAATCTCAGCTGCCAGAAAAGGTTTGTGTAGGGACGGCACTGCTGAATATTTCTAATCCCCTGAATGAACCCTGGGCTCCGCAGTGTTGCAATGAAAAGTATGGTCCTGAACCCAAAGATTCCTAGCCCAAACCCTTTCACAACAACACAGTACAACTGTGTGTCTTGACTAGCAAATATTAGTGGCACAAGGACGCAGATGTGTAAGTTCTTTTAGGAGAAAATTGGTGCCATAGTGCAAGTGTTCCAGAAGACATAGAACCCCTCTGCCTTACAGTGCATTGTAAAGTTGACTCAAAGTTGCAATAATTTCTGCTGCTCTCTGTGGTTCCATTACAGTGTGGCACTTGTCCACATTTTGATGATCTCCTCTTGGTTTATCCTTGTACTTTTGCAGCACTGAACCTGTAGGCACTCTAATAGTTATTCCGTACTCTTATCAAATAGTTAGATATTTATTTCTAACATTCATACATTTCTTTTCACTGCTTGTACACATTGAGAGGTGAACGATAAAAACAGCAGGTTCCGTAATGAACCTCATTAACTTCTGTCACAGCACTGGCAATTTCCCCATTGTCAAGTTCTTTAGAGAAAGTGTTTAGTGACAGAATCCACTCTCTTCTGTATCATTGTCCTCTGTAATCAAATGTTTAGAGACAGCATGAAAAAGAGGTAGCCTCTGAAGTCCCTCTTAACTAATAACCCTGCCTATTTACTATTGTTTTTTACTTGTTTTATCACATTAGGTTGAATATGTTATTAAGTGTGATATGTCAGCCCTTCAGAAAATTCTGTATCGCCACATGCAAGCCAAAGGAATCCTCCTTACCGATGGCTCTGAGAAAGACAAGAAGGTGAGACATTCTTACTGCTTAGAACAGAGTTTTCAGCCAAAACCTGTCCTAACAAGCCTTGATTGAAACCTTCTCAGACACAATTTGGTTAATGTAGCTAGGAGATGGTATTAGGTTCCAGACAAGGGATGTCACCTATTGGTAAAGGAAGGATGGAACATGGTATGTTTTAAAATTCCTAAAGGGAATTTAAGGCCAACATGTTGGGGGGAAAGGAATATTGTAAGAGGGCATGCACATGTTCATGATGTTGTATGATCTAGATTTGAGAAGGCCAGATATACGAACTAAGGCAGTTATTGTTCTGATGTGTGATCTTGTGCCTTTCCAGATTGTCAAATTCATAACTGTTTCTGATTTACTTATTTAGGGGAAAGGAGGAGCCAAAACTCTCATGAACACCATCATGCAATTGAGAAAGATATGCAATCACCCGTATATGTTCCAGCATATTGAGGTAAAGCCATCTAGTGTTATTTTTTCATTAAGACACTAACATATAGTCATGAAACATATAGTAGAAGACTAATGTTGTTTAACAGTATAATCCTAAACAGACTTACACCCTTCTTTGCATATTGAGTTCAGTGGATTTAGAGGGGTGCAGCTCTGTTTAGGATTTTGGTAGGGTTGAGCAGAAATGGGAGGCCATATTTCATGCAAAGTGTATAATATAATACAATTCTTCTGCAATTTTTAAAGATGGAGATGAAAATAGATTTGGTCTGTCATTGTACTTTGGTGTGTGCTGAAAGTAGCACAAGACTGTTCTGAATTGCTTGGGGCTACATTTGTCTGAAGATACATGTGTGTGCACAATTTTTGTGCCAGTGCAGAGCCACACATCATCAACTGCTATACCACCAAAAGCACTCTTTATTATTTTTATTTTCAAAATTTATACCCTGCCTTTCTGCCTTTAAAACAGATTAAAAACATACATAATAATAAATATGTTTTAGAAACCATTAAAACCAGACAAAAAGCCAGACAAAATCTTCCGAAACCTACCCTCCAGTTATGACTGGAGCCACTGCAGAATTCATCTGCCCAGTCCCAGCTCTGAAAGGCAGTCCACGAAGATACTATGACTGATGCACCAAAAGCCATTGAGAGATCCAGGAGAATCAACAGAGTCACATGTCCTCTGTCCATCCAGTCATCCAACAGAGCAACAAAGGCTGTCTCAGTCCCATAACCATGCCTAAAACCAGATGGGAAAGGATCCAAAATAATCTGCTCCATCCAGGAATGAGTGAAGCTCTCCATCCACCACCTGTTCAGTCACTTTGCTCACAAATGGAACGTTTGAGACTGGATGATAGCTGCTGACAACTTCTGGGTCCAGGATAGACTTCTTTAGTAGCTGATACATCACAGCCTGTTTTGAGGCCACCACCCCCTCTCTTAAGGAGGAGTAAACTACTTTGGTCAGCCATGCACACCCCCAACAGATTTAAGTAGCCAGGAAGGGCAAGGATCATATGGCAGGTGGCAGGCCTCAAACCTCCAATGATCCTTAGGGTTGCCAACCTCCAGGTGGTGGCTGGAGATCTCCTGGAATTACAACTGGTCTCCAGCCAACAGAGATCAGTTCTCTGGGGGAAAATGGCTACTTTGGAAGTTGGTCTCTATGGCATTATGCCCTCCCCAAGCCCCACCCTCTGCAGGCTCCAACATTGCCACATGGCTTGCTTTAAAGTGAGCTTTCACCTGTGTTTTTTTGGATTTGTCATGAGCCTTCTTCCACTGTTGCTGTCACCATTTCCCTTGTCTTTTCATTGCTTGCCACCCCTCAGCAAGTATTACCAAATGTCTGGAATATCGCTATGTTATATATATGGCACAGGGTGGGTGGGACTATGATAATCTCTCACCTGTGTGCCTTGCCACGTTCATTTTGGCAATTGTAAGATGGGGTTTGTAGGTGATGTCTTGAGCAAACCATTTGTGCACAATTTGCAGATTTGTAACAAACTGAAATTTGCTGTGACATCCAAATTGATTGATTTAATGCACTGCAGCTTATTTTTTTACATGCAAATCAAGATGGTGCTCTACAGTTAATTTGTAGAGTTTATAATTCTGGTTTAGCTTGTAGGCAAATGTGTTTGGTCATTTGAACACAGATGTGAGACTGAAATTGAGACAGTCATCACAGCCTGGTGATTTTGCTTTGTCAAGCTATGGATCCTTATTTTTTCATAATAGCCAATTGATGACCACTGCAGCTACCCCTATCTGCAGGGTTAGTGTAATAGACTTGCCTCTAAGTAAGATATTAATTCTCAGTGAAGTTTCAGTGTGTATCATGATCACAAAACAATGCAAACACAGCAAATTTTCTTTTACAGGATACTGAAATAGGAATGTGCATATAATTAAACTTTTGGCAATTTCCCTTAGCATAGCCTCATGTTGTCCATCTTGACCAATACTATGATTTATACTTTTTATTCTACAGTATAAAACTTTTGCCCTTTTTTGGTGGCCAATGTTCTGATTTTCCCTCATTTTTATAAATTTAAGAATTACTTTCATTCAAGAGAACACCGTCTCATTAATGAGCTTTTGTTTTATATGTATTTTTGGTACATGGTGAAAATGTTCACCCATTTAAAAAAAATAACTAATAGAATAATACAAACATTAACATCCACAGCTGATTAGTAGACAACGGTTAGTTATAAGCGTTTGATTAGAATTATGTTGTTAAAATTAAACAATAAATTACATAGTGCTTTCTAAATAGGTCCTTTCTTTATTAATCTATTCAGTAATTTGGAAATAGGCCTAGAATTTCACATAAAATAGCATGATTATTGAAATATGTCCCATGCACACATAGGAAAAATATAGTTCCTAAGCTCCACAAAAAAATTATAAGCAACAGCTGTACTAGAAAATTGGATCTGAGTTTTGAAAAGTACCATTGGATGTCTTTTATTTTTATTGATAAATAATTCACTGTTAATTGTTTTAACAGGAATCTTTTGCTGAACATTTGGGCTATTCAAACGGTGTCATCAATGGGTAATTTTTATGCATATATCCAGTATTTTGTTGTCGATTTGTTAAGGAACTTTAACTGTTTCCAAAAGAGTGTTTAAAATCCCCTGTAAGCAAGGTTTAAACAGTTTAAGGCCCCACTAATTTTAATGGGGCACATTGAAATCGTAGGGCTTAAATATGGCTGGTCACATCCCAGCTTATATAAAGATTCCTACTGTTTCAAAATTGCCTCTGCGGTTGAGAAATGGGCTCAGTGGGTTTAGAATGGTTTAACTTTGCTTGGGATAATACTTTAAGTTTCTTCTTCAACTTCAGAAAAACTCAGGTTTATTGGAGCTCTCCTAGAAACAGTAGTCTGAACCTCTGATAGGGTCAGTAAGCGATGAAGCAATTTCCATTCTCCTTACTTGTGCCCAGACACTGGGTGCTCTGTTTTCCTGTCCACTGTAAGGCAAATTATTTGAAAAAATGCTCTCACATGGGCTAAACCACAAGGGGACCTCTCAGTTCCTCCCTATAGCCTGTTTTTGCGCATGCTTTTGTTGTTGAAGGTTCCAGTAATCTTTAGCTTAAGGTCTGAACTCTTTCATAGTTTTGAGTATGGTTTTGGGACATTGTCACTGCATGTCCTAATTTCTCAGAAGAAAGAACTAGTTGGTGGCTATCTCTATATCATTCCAACCTACTAAGTTTAATAACATACAGACAAATAGTGGTATGAGTATGGTAATGTCCATCAATAATAAGTTGCCAGCATTACTAGACTCATCCATAAGCAGGGGTCGTTTGGAGCTGGAGCACGCCGGAGCACTGCTCCAGCAGCCCCGGTGGCAGCAAGCCTCACCCCCCAGCTCCCCGCCCCCCAGCTCCTTCAGTCTAGAGTCGCGCTGCAGCATGGCCCCATAGAATACAATGGAAAGATCGTGCCACCACTGTGGCGCAACTCCAGAGAAAAGGGGTTTAAATTTTAAACCCCTTCTCTCTTCGCCCCCCCTCCCCCGCCTGCCTTGGCAGTCTGGCTGGAGAAGCAAAAAGGGGTGGCGGATCTTCAAAAGCCTCCTTTCCCAGCCAGCCTGCCAAGGCGGGCTGGGGGAGGGGCGACTTTTGAAGCCCCCCCCCCCCAGCCTGCCTTGGCAGGCCGGCTGGAGAAGCAAGGGGGGGGGATCTTCAAAAGCCTCCCCTTCCCCAGCCGGCCTGCCAAGGTGGGCAGGGGGGGGAAGCGAAGAGAGAAGGGGTTTAAAGTTCTGGGGAAGGGAAGGGGAGGATTTTGAAGATGCCTCCCCCCCTTTTGCTTCCACTTCTGACATCACTTTTGGTGATGTCAGGGGCCGTGGCATATGCTAATGAACTATTATGCTAATAGCTTATTAGGTATGTTAATGAGCTCCTGCAGCTCTTTTTCTATTATGATCCCTGTCCATAGGTATTGCTTTAATAGAATTGCTGAGCAGACTGTGTTGTTGTTTTTTATCTTCACAGAGCTGAGCTTTATCGAGCTTCAGGGAAGTTTGAGCTACTTGATCGAATTCTACCAAAGCTGCGAGCCACAAACCATCGTGTGCTTCTTTTCTGTCAAATGACGTCACTCATGACCATTATGGAAGACTATTTTGCTTTTAGAAACTTTGCTTACCTGCGGCTTGATGGTAATGTCCAAGATGAAGCAAACTCAGAAAATATACTGGGGTGTTTTGTAGTTGTTTGCTGTCATCGGCTGGTTATTGTTTCTCTGATATAGTGCAGCAATAGTAGGGCGTGCACTCCAAAATTGCCGAGCTGAAAATTACAGAAAAAATGCTGTTTCATGGTGATTTTCTGGAACAGTAATACACAGCTGGAATTCTTAGGCATTACAAAGCAGCCCCCCCCCCAATCAGCAGCAGCAGGAGGGGTCATGTTTTTCTTTGATCCTCCTTATTTGGCAGACAGTGGCATTTCTCCCGTCCAATAGGATCCTTTCCATGGATCTGGAAGTTAGTGCTCCCTGCCAATCACCTTTGGAGACAAGCCCCAGAGAAGAAATTTCTGTGGAGGAGTTAGTGTTGAGCTGCCTGTCACTGCTTGGACTACTCCATGTACAGCTCCAAATTTATGTGAATAGCTTTCCACTGTGGGTTCTTTTGGATCACAATGAACAAGATCCTCATTTTCCACCTGTGCCATCCCTCATCAGCAAAATCCGCTTCTGTGGCTTTTAAAGCTACTTTCTTGGAGCTGACAGGTGACTCTGATCAAAGTGTTGAACACAGAAACAACTCATAAACACACATATCATGTAGCTTAACCCGACAGGTGACTCTGATCAAAGTGGTGAACACAGAAACAACTCATAAACCCACATATCATGTAGCTTAACTCTGGACTTCCATGTAACAGCCCCTCACCACCACCTCCTATAGGAACTAATAGTAGTAGTACTAACTGCTTATTAAGATATTCCTACAGTAGATACCCAACATGAAGATACATATCTCATAGCTATTGGATGATTGATTATCACATGCAATCACACATACACACATGGGCTGCAGTTCTTTGTTTTGAAAAATTTGAGCTGTTTTTAAAGATTGCAGGGACAGGGTGGGGGGAGGGACTTTTTTTTTTGCTAAGGTAGCCTCCCCTACTTTGTGAAAGGAAACAACAGACCACAGAAGGAAAGACGGCAAATGCAGAATTTTCAGCAAAAAGGTTAATTTTTTTCCATTGTCAGTCGCTGAATGATTACATTTTTAAAAGATGAAAGGCCTGTTCTGTGCCTTTCAACTTGCAGTTCTTTAGATCTAGCCATAGTTTTTAAATGTGCTTTTGCATAAATGTGAAATTTAAATGTATTTTTAAAAATCATTCTACAAAGTACATCCATGTTAATTTATTTTAAGATTAGTTATTTAACAGATTATTAGGTTGTACTGAATCCATATGTAGATGGATATATGGAGTTTAATAGATTTAAGCTGAAAACTCTGTTCCCCCACCCTTGCGGTATCAGTAGTGCTACTGAATTACTAGTGTTCCATCTTCTTTCAGTGTGACACTATTTCAGAGGAGAGTATTTGGGAAAAATAAAATACATCTAGAAAAAGTCAGAATGCTCTAACTAAAATACAATTCAAGGATTGAGCATTATCATATGTGTTTAGAAATGAATCCCTGTTTATTTTAGTCAAGGGTATTTCAAAGTAAATGGCTTGCAATGAGAGCTAAACCAGTTTCTTTATCCAAGTGGAATCGTAAACAATAGTTCTTCTGTTTTAAATACTAAAGAAATTAAACAGCCCTTCAAGGAACTTCATCTCGGAAAAATATGAGAAGGAAATGAACACTGGATAACCCATTCAAGAAACCTGTAGTCTCAGACTTGATCTAGGGAGAAAAATCAACTTGCTGAAATTTTGGCATATGTAACCTTGTGACTTAGGAATCCAAGAGCAGAGCAGGGATGGGTCCCAACTATTGAATCTTTTCCCCACTGTGCACTGATTTGAAGCAGCAAATGCCCCCGTCTGCCATACTATAGACTTGTACTACTCAGATAAAATGCAAGCTGAAGAGGGAGTATCTCCCCCCCCCCTTTTTATAAGGTACTTTTTACAGTATTAGTAACTTATCTACCTGACTGGTTCTAAACGTTTTCCTATGTTACTGACACTTACCTTCTTGTGTGTGCTATTCAGCAGACTGTAGTTATGAATTCAGATGTCACAACAAACCACAGTTAGTACAAGCTATTGCTTAGAAACCAGCTACAAATCCTGGTTTGAAATCTAACTAACAAAACCTGGTTTGCTGAACTATCTGCATTCCAATATCACAACTCACCTGGGCTTTGATCAAACCCTGGTTTATAAAGCAATATGAAAATTAGCCTTTCTTTTTCTTCTGTGTTTGTTTACTTTATTTATAGTCTGCCTTTCTCACCGAGACTCGTGACAGATTACACACTGTAAGTCAATGTAATCAATAAGGTGAGACATCTGATAAGCAATGTAATAGGGCTTGGATTAAAGCACACTGAAGCAAAGCATAAAGCCCCATTGAAAGCAATTTAACATTTTAATCAGGACGACCTTGCTCCATTTGTTTCAGAGAGAGGTGGAATGCTTTGGGAGGAAGTATAGCTGTGTGCAAGAATGCTTTCTTCCCCAAAACGTAGAAATAATGGGGACTTAAGTGGCCATCTTTATAATCATGCAGGTGGTATTCCTTTGCGATTTACAGATTACTGACTTGTTCTGCATTCCAGTTCTTACATGTATGTTGACTTCTATAATTTCCAACAAGATTCCCAGAGGATAAGGTTGTAAGAGTTGAAGCCTTTAAGGTGCTACTGGACTCAAATCTTGCTGTTCTATTGCAGACTTCTGTCCACATGAAAATATCTTATAATTTCTATGACTCTGTGATTGATGCATTGCAACATTCCGTACATTCACAAGTTCTCTAAATGGAACAAAGTAAAACAAAGCCTTATTGGGAGGGGGTTGTATGCATTGTTTCTGCCTCTCTCAAAACGTGTGTTTTACAGGTGCTGGTTTGAGACTTTTTTTTTAGTAAAGACCTGCAGCAAATAAGATCTTGTATCTCATTAGGACCAACTATCTTTAAAAGAGACATATGTTTTGTTTTACCTAGAGCCTCTTATCTAGCAAAAGATTTCGTTTTTCTTATTGGTTGTTTCTCTGGAGCCAACACAATAATAAAATTGTATGCAAAAAAGCGTGGAATAGATAAATGTTTTTGTGGAGACCTCAGTGATATGTACAGCATTTCATGCAGACGTGCTGATTTTTGTATTGTGTGAAATGCCAAAGTCATCCATAAAGGGGGAATTAAATAGGGCATTCCTTTGAGATGCATGCCTTCCAGATGGCATCTACATGCATAACTTTTAATGACTTCTCATTTCAGGGACAACAAAATCTGAGGATCGAGCAGCTCTGCTGAAGAAGTTCAATGAGCCCAATTCCCAATATTTCATCTTTCTGCTGAGCACAAGGGCTGGAGGTCTGGGCTTGAACCTTCAGGCAGCTGATACTGTCATTATTTTTGACAGTGACTGGAATCCTCACCAGGTTATTTTTCAACCATTATTCATTGTTCCTGCGTTATGTGAAGGGTCTGTTTCTTCTTGCACGTTGAAACAGTTATGAGTACTTGTTCTTTTGTTTGTTTTTAAATTGGTTATAATAAAAATACAGGGGCTGCACTCAGAACAAGCCTTGACAGTCTTCAGGCATATGCTTTCCCTCACTTCATGTGTGACTCAAGAATGGAAGATTTCCTGGTTGTACTTTGTTGGACAAAGTATTGTTTGTTCGTTGCCTTCAAATCTGGTTTCTAAATGTGGTTTTTAGGATATGTGAAACAACAGTCAATGGATTGTGGCAAACCAAGTAAGTCTTCAGTTCCCAAGCTATGCACACAGGACAGGGGAAGGGGTGGGCAATGAGAACTTCCAAGGCTTGTTCTCATTACAAATGATGATATAATATTGCCTCTGAAGACAGAAGCTGTTTTCCTGGGTCTAGCCTTCTTTGGCTGTGGGTTCTTCTATGTCAGAGCTCTTTGAAATCTTCAACTTGAAGTTCAGTGCTGCAGCTGCCAGCCTCTGGACAAGAAGTGCCTATTTTAGGCTTTGCCGTTGACATCAGTCGTATGGCTAAATTAGGGAATGATCGTCACACACAGTTGGCCACATGAATTATAAAGTAGTTTGGGGAGAATGATTAATAATTATTATATGGCATTGTGTGCAGTACAGCCAGGAGATCCTAAGATTGTCTAGCAGCCTGAAGTTCTAGCACAGTGATGGAGAACCTTTTAGAGACCGAGTGCCCAAACTGCGACCCAGAACCCACTTATTTATCACAAAGTGCCAACATGGCAATTTAACCTGAATACTGAGGTTTTACTTTAGAAAAAACAACTCATACATTAACTTAAGATGATCCAAACAAAGTAAGGAAAGCAATCCCAAATGCTTTCATTTACTTAAAATTATTTGGCAGAGAATTCGACACTTGAATGATGGTCTGGGCCTGGCTGGGACGATGGCACGCGTGCCCACAGAGAGGGCTCTGAGTGCCACCTCTGGCACCCGTGCCATAGGTTCGCCACCACTGTTCTAGCACTTTTAGCAAGATAGACTTATTTTAGGGGCTGATAGAGCTCTGAAGGAGCTGTGGCTGATCCCAGGTCACCCAATTAGTTTCATGTGGAGGAGTGCAGAATTGAACCCGATTCCCCAGATCACAGTCCATCGCTCTTAACCACTATACTATGCTAGCTCTCAGTTTGGGGAGAAATGTTGAGGTCAACAGATTGAAATTCATAAAGGCAGTCCAGGCAATTTCCATGCTGTGTTGTTTTTGGAAACATCAAAGTGAACCATGCACATTGTGTTGCACTTCCTTTTTTATTTTATATACCACTAGTGATGCAATCCTAAGCAGAGCTGCAGCCTTCTAAGTACATGGAAGTTAATGAGCTTAGAAGGGTGCAGTTCAGCTTAGGGTTCGTGTATTTACAGAAAAGAGGTTTAAAGTTTTTGTCTGAAGTTTTGTTTGTTTAAAAAACTTTCACTGTTTTCCTATAACGATGTGGTCTGTCAATACTACTATACTTTACATTTACCCTACCTTTCTAGTTCTTGGAACCTATAATTATTTAAAAACAACTGTTACTAAAAACAAAACTCCCCCCTGTTAATAGGTTATATAACAGTTATCAAAACCCAGTCTAATTTTAAGATAGGGGTTCTCAAACTAGGGGGAAAGTTTGGGATACCTGAAGGCGCTGTGTGTGCGTGCGTGTGTGCGCGCGTGCGCGTGTGGACACGAAGTTCTAGAGAGATATAAGATGATAGTGGATCCTTCCTCTTCTCAACCTGACAGAAGACTGATTCAGGCTGGAGCTGAGGAAGAGTTTTGCATACTCATTGTTCTTGTGATTCCAACTTGATTTTGGAACAAAGAAGATAATGGAGAACTGCTGCTTTGCTCTAATGATAATTCTTTAATTGTAGTTGGTCCAGATAAATCCTGTTCTATCCTTCACAAAGTGCCAACATTATATTAGTTTTGTACCTATAGATCTTTGCCTCACTGTTCAGAACTGATAGGTTGATGGAACAGTAATTTTATCATCATCATAGATCCTTGAATGTACCAGGCTGTACATTCAGCTGCCCACAAGAATCATTGCATACTAGTTAGTGGAACAAATATTGGTATTGGGGTAACAAGGCAAAGGACATTCTTGAAAAGGGGGCCCAGGTTTTTTAAAATGGTATTGTTTAAAGGTCTTACAACTACTGAGCATTGCACATGTTGTATCTTGCTACTGAAATGCATTGGCAAGTTATTGGAAACATGTAAATGATCACAGCTTCTTATGACATGAATATGAATGAATATACTCTAAATAAATTCACCTTTGATCTGGTAACATGATCTCTTGAAATAAGTATAATTAAGGGCACAAAGGATAATTGGAGGCCACTTAAAAGAGCATGAAACTCAAATAATTCAGGGCCAGAATTTAATTGTTTCAACCTGCACTGACAGAAAGTATATGTTGGTATTTTAAGTCACTGAATTAAAGCATACTTTTAAATTTACATTTACAAATATGCCCATAAATAAACACACAAATTAAATACATTCAGTACATTATATAACAAATAACCTTTCACTTTATCTTGCACACTGAGAATCTACCATTTAAGCTGTTTTTACATCCAGGATTTATTTTATGTTTTATGGTTGTAATGTTTTTCTTGGCCAGCCAATCTTTAACTTTGGGAGACCAATGCATTGTATGTAATATATATTAACAGGATTTGCAGGCACAAGACCGAGCTCATCGAATTGGACAACAGAATGAAGTTCGAGTCCTACGACTATGCACAGTGAACAGTGTGGAAGAGAAAATTCTTGCTGCTGCCAAATATAAATTGAATGTGGATCAGAAAGTTATTCAAGCTGGCATGTTTGACCAAAAATCTTCAAGCCATGAACGGAGGGCTTTTCTCCAGGCCATATTGGAGCATGAAGAAGAAAATGAGGTATTCTACAAGCTAGCTCACATGCTTAAAATAGAAACACATTCATTTCTGCCCTTACCCCTAGTGTCCTGATGTCCATTATGTTCAGGGGTTTGTATATGCCACATTGAAATTGTGTGTCCAGCTAAACCAGACTCTGTGACCTATATGAATTATGGAATTACAGCACAATTGTATTAGCTCACTTGTGCATAATTTATTTGGAATTTTAAAAACTGTTTTGTATGAATGTTCTGGTAGGTGGAGAAATGACCAGTGCAAGGTACTGAAGCCATGCCAGTAGCAAATGGAAATCCTAGTTAGCTACTCTTTGGCTTCTGAACAGTTGGCTGGTATTGCCCCAAGTGGTTAGGTTTGTCTTTGTGGTTCTTAGACCTTACATTTTTAAAAAATGAAAAGTGAGATTTTTAGGAAGATGAATTTTTACACTCAGTAGTGTATTGGGTGCTTTCTTTGAACTACCACAGAAGTGTAGCATGTCTACAACCCTGGTAAGTTTCATCAGTTAGAAGATAATGTCAGCAAATAAGAACATTTCATTATAGCAAAAAATGGGGGAGGTCCACTTCTCCTTTTTCAATTCAGCATTTTAGGAAATCAGCATGTAGCTTCCTAATGGCTTGTCTTTTTTTCCCTTCAGTATAAAATTAAATTTTGTAACTTGGAGCTTTCCCCCCCTTGCCAAATTGCTCAAAAAGTAAACATTTCATCTTCAGAGTCAGTGGTCTGTATCCATCCAACAGTATACTGTTTCTGTGGATCCTCTGACCCCCAGAAATAAAATTATGAGGGGCTCTAAGACCTGCAGTGAGAAGGGAGAACTGGTGAAGTCACTGCTTCCTCTTAAGAAAACTTAAAGGCTCTTAAGTATTCTCAATGGTATGGCTGGATACAGGCCAACAGCCTTTTTTTTAAAAAAAAAAAAGCAAAAAAAAAAGCCCATAGAATTCAAAATCTGAAATGGGCAGCCTGACTTTTATAGATAGAACAAGTAGGCATCACTTTGAATGTGACTATTGCTTAGTTTTACAAAATCTATTTGTATTCAGTGGCTGTTCTTTAAGCAGCATATAGGCCTATTTGTGTCATAGAGCAGCTGTCTGTGGATAATGGCCTTGTGTACAAATTGCAGGAATATCTTTTTCAGTTTACTGAGAAACATACCTTCCACAGCTTGAGTGATCAAGGGTGTGCATGGGGTAAATTCTACCTCTTTATCACCTTCATTTTCATTATCATGTAGATGTGGTGATCTTGTTTTATCTAATAAAGTTCATAAAGGGCAAAGACATTAGTTGTTCAATAATTGGACCTTCTAATATACTGCTGTCAATGGTATAATGATTATATTGCAAAGGAAGGCCAATGATATCATTAAAAGGGAGTGGGCTATTTTATAGTTCTTTGCTTCAGATTATTGTTCTGAATATTATGTATAACAAATACGTTCAGTAGATTAGAATGGCATAGAGATGACTGTTCTTACATGGTAGCCAAATTATCTAATACATATTTACATTTTACTAATTGAACTTGTGTTTGAAAAATTCTTTATCTGCTAAGGAAGGAGTTGCCAGTGGACTAAAATTCTGTTTCAAATCTATTGAGGCTGGCCCCATTGTTGAATATGGTAATAATATGCAAAACCTAATTATAGGCTTTCAGTACCTAAAGATTAATAGTTTGACATTGTCAGGTTTTGAAATGGTCACAAATAGCCTTCTTGTTTTTGTTGAAAAAGTGACAGTAAAAATTAGTTTTATTTCCTCCATAATAAGGGTTCCTGCATTTTTGTAATGTTGGAAAGAATTGTTATTTTAAGAAGTTTCAAGTGAAAGGGCAATTCTGATAAACTCCAAATGGAAATGGAACCAGGATAATTAATGTTCTTTGCTTTTCTCTACATAATTAAAGGAGAAGGATTATCAAGGTATTAAAAAATCAAGAAAAGCACGGTTGAGTGAGGAAATACATTCTACTTTTAGAGTGGTGATTTTAAGTGTCAGGCTGTGTAGCACTCAAACCACTTTCTGTAAAGATTTCAGTACTAAGCTTCATGCCCTAAACTTCGGAAGTAGTTACACTGAATGTGGTAGAATCAGGGGAACAAATTTCAGAATTATACTGCAACAATTTCCATAGTTTCAATATAGATTTGTCCTCTCCTTTTTTATTTCTTTATTTTGTAAATACATATTAATATAAACTATATATATTAAAATACTATTTTTGTAATATTTTAATATATTTTGAAGAGTTAAAAAATTCTGTGACATATTGAATGCAAAGCCTTGACAAATTTCATAATTAAAATTCTACTCCAGATTCACCACAGAAGCTACATTAAGCAGTTTACAACTGAAGAACAGGATTCAAAACTGCCTGTTTCTTAGGCTTTCATGCAAATGACTTGCTCACAGAAGATTTTGTTTGTTTGTTTGAATTCTTGATTCCAATGCCAAACTACAAATTGACTTTGAAACTCCCCTGAGCTTCAAAAAGACTTATCCAAGTGCCATAGTGTGATGAGGGGCTCTTGTTTGATGCAAACTAGTCTAAAGCCCTTTTGGGTTTGTGGAAGCAGTTTCAGAATGCTTTGCTTCTTGGCCAGAGAGCCCCTTAATTAACAGCGTAGAGGCGAATCAAGCTATACTGCATTTTTATGTGTGCTAGCTTATTCCCCTTACTCTAACTCTCCTGTACTTGCCTTATTTCTGGAAAATTACTATTATGTTCTGATCTTGCTATGTAGAATGTACATTAGGAGTATAATAAACTTGATATTGTAAAATTCACAGTATACTTAAATCAGTGTTCCTTTTTGCTCCTTGAGTATGCTTTATAGTAGTTCAGATAAAGTTTCTGCTGTTTGTCAAGTAATATGTATCTTAAATTCTTTTCTGTGCTTGTCTCATGAGGCCTGGTATAGATACACACACACACATTTATTCTGGGTAATTTTCTCTATCTGCAGGAAGAAGATGAAGTCCCAGATGATGAAACTCTGAATCAGATGATTGCTCGACGGGAAGAGGAATTTGATCTTTTCATGGTAATGACACATATGATTGTGTCTCTAGTTACTGCCTTTGATTAATGTTAGAGCTCACTATCTACCCTTGTCCTTTGGCCAAAATTCTGAAGATGAGAAATGCAAGAGCTGTGTCCTGGAACAGTACAGTGCTCCTTTTCTGGGTTGCTCTCTTCACAATCATGTTCATTAACTGCCTTCAAAATGTAGTTGTGTGTAGTATGGATGCTGTGACATTTTAAATTAGAAAAAAAAAACCTAGCTAATCAGTTATATCTTTACATGTAAAGTTATTCTGACATAGTTTGTGAGCACAGTAAAAGCAATCAAGGCATATATGGAGTCTCCAAGTTTGTTGCTAGCTAGTGAAGGCTTACTGTTTCTTCTGTGGATTGTGCCAGTTGACAGTTATCACTGAGTTATGAAATAAAGGACAGGATTGGGAATTCTTATCCCTACATACAAAGATATCAAAATTCTACACAGTGCAGAAATCCTACTCACATTAAAGATATTTGATCCTTTGGCTTAATTGCGAGGCCATGCCACTATCAGGGCCGGCCCCAGCTTATTTTGCACCCTAGGCAGGGATCCCTTCTGGCACACACCCCCATGCGCCCACCATGGCTCGGACCCATTAATTGGATCTGTACCCCGGACCTCCTGTTCCCCAGGCACCCATGCTCTTAACACTCACTTTTGCTTTTGTAACTTTGCCTGCTTTGCACATCTGGCTTCCACCAAGGAAGACTCTGCAAAGAAAGGCACTCACAGTTTCAAACAACCTCTGCTTTTCACTTGCCTTGACAGTTCCTTGCTGGGGTTGCCATAAGTCAGTTGCAACTTGAGTGTCCTTAGGTAATAGCCCCCCTACTTAGGTTCTTCTTTGACTCAGCTGAGTGACCCTTCTGTGCCCAGAGGGCTAAGTTCTTTGGTGGAATTGGTGTTTGTATCATCAGAAAGATCATAACATGTTTAAAACTCAGTAATGTTTACAGCTGAACCAGAACAGGGTGTGTGTGTGTGCCAGTTTGGCGCCCCTAAGGGCCGGCACGCTCTAGGCGAGCGCCTAGTTCACGAGCCGGCCCTGGCCACTATGCCTGGGTACGAGGCCAATGTCTCCTGGCTCTGATGCCTTTCCCAGGAAACCCATACACTGTCCCTTGCTAAATGATATGGCCACTGCACAAGTTCTCTTTAACAACCCATCTTTGTCCTTCAGCAATACAGAACCCAGGAAACCCATACACTGTCCCTTGCTGAATGATATGGCTATTACAAATTCCATTGGTTACAGTGACTTCTATCATCTGTAGGTGCTCAAGGGAGGCTTTCCAAGAAGTCAAGTATGGCTCCTCCTGACCACTGCACAAGTTCGCTTTAACAACCCATCTTTGTCCTTCAGTAATACAGGAGCCCTGTTCACAAGTACAGTGAACACATGTACAATCCATGTACAGTGTGCACTTGCTATTCTTTATATGTTTGTTGAATAATTCTCATGTTACCTTCAATGCATGTGCAGCTGAATGTGTGATTTAATCCACACATTCATCCAGGTACTGGTCCCCAATTTCATTTGTAAAGTGAATGCACATTGTCTCATTCTTAAAGATGTGCGCACATGCATTCAAGATGTACGCATGTTCACTGTAACCTGTGAAGAGGGCTAGAGGTGCTGTAGTGCCAGGTTCTGACAGGGGACCTGTTCAAGGAGGCCATAGAATATCACTGTTGAAAAATATATCCTTGACCTAGTGACTGATGAGCAAAGTCCAGTATTCATCTTTTACAAATTTAGCCTCTACATTGTCTGAGGAGCAGGGAGACAAATGAATTTGTACCTGCCCAGTGTCTCCATGTGCATCAGACAGCATGGACAAAATGTTTCGTCCTTTGTCCCTTTCCTTCGGTATAGAATGAAATCAAACAGTCATCCATTGGACAGGCAGAAAGTCTTGGAATGCACTTTTTCCTGTGTGCCACAAGAGGCTGCTGTGGCACCTGCTCTGTTGGTAGCCCAACTGGTTTCTCCTGTTCATCTGTTCTTTCTGCCTCTGCCCCCCTCTGCTGGTTCTCCGCTGCAGAGCTTGATAAGGGGGGGGGGGCGGAATACAAACAAGAAACAGCAGCAATGAGAACCTGAGCACTTCACTCTTGGAAAGCACTGCCATGTTAGCACACTATTAAAGGCAGCATGAAAAATAAAATAGCACAATAAATACAAAAAATTGCTTAGAACACTTAACAAAAACAAAGAATATATGAATATATCATAGATCTGAAACTTGGGATTTGTTTAACTAGTTATGAATAAAGTTAGTAGGAGCTAAGGAAGGGTAGTTTTCTGAGAAAGGAAGCAAATGTGACTGAAGTGGAATTGGGATTACTTACATCAGGTGAAGAAGAACATGAACTCTTTTGGACTGATGGGCCAGTCAAAGAGCTGGTGCTAATCAAGGCTAGTGTGGAAAACCTCTTTTCATATTGCAGTAAATCTTGAGAGCTCCTTGACAGTACTGTTGGTCTGTTAGGATGCCTGCTGGAATTGCAGCCTCTTGCCATATTAGGACGAAGGCCTGTTTCTACATCTTTCTCCTGCTCCCCAAAAGACCAACAGGAGTGTTCACCCCTCAGTTTACCACTTCAGTGAAATAAGTCTCTGACTTTTATCAAAAATAATTTATTTCTCTTCCTTTTAAACCAACGTACTAGTGATACTGAGGAGCTGCGGTGGCTCAAGTGGTTAAGACGCTGAACTGCAGGCTGGAAGGTCGGTAGTTCAGCAATTCGAGACCCGAGTGCTGCGTGACGGAGTGAGCTCCCATCTCTGGCTCCAGCTCCTGCCAACCTAGAAGTTTGAAAGCAAGAAATTACAAGTAGATAAATAGGTACTGCTTCGGTGGGAAGGTGACAGTGTTCCGTGCGCCTCAGCATTTAGTCATGCCAGCCACATGACCATGGAGATGTCTTCGGACAGCACTGGCTCTTCAGCTTAGAAACAGAGATGAGCACCGCAACCCTAGAGTCGGATTTCTGGCTTTCGAGCAAGGGAAACCTTTACCTTTAATAGTGACACTGAAGAAACAAAGTGGAAGTTTGAGGGCAGTAATTCAATCCCCTTCCAAGTTTGAGTCACTAAAAGTACATTAAAACCATAATAGATTGCTAGAATTGAAATATATTTTACCTCTTTTGTAATACTCATAAATTACATTTAAACATCTAGTGTGGGAGAGCAGGACCAAAGAATGTCTTGTAAAAATAGCTTTGGAGTGGGAGTGAATGCAGTTCCTTGCCCTCTCTGTTTGATTATTTACTGAAAGTTTTCAAGGAATAGTTTGGTAACTTTTTTTCTCAAGTAGATAAATTAAAAGATTTTCACATGGATCTCTCAATAAATGTCCTGCAAGGAGGAAGTCAAACACTTCCTGCGGAAGAAACATGTCCTGTGCATTATTCATGTATATATTCAGTAGTCTATGCAGTAGAGTTGTTTTGTCTCACTTTGTTGATAGAATCAGGTGGGTAGCCATGTTGGTCTGAAGCAGCAGAACAGTTTGAATCCAGTGACACTTGAAGAAGTGTGCATGCCCACGAAAGCTTATACTGGGAATAACACTTTGTGAATAAAGCACTGGATTCAAACTTTGTTCTGTCTCACTTTGTGTAAGCCTTCCACTGTTTTAAAAAAATACATGCTTTCAGTTAGCTCATTTGAAAATTAGTTGAGTTTTCAAGGGGATTCCAGGACAAACTAGTAGGGAAGAAGGAATAATTGTGTGTAGAGTTTCATACTTAGGGCTGAAATTCTTCACCTTTGTTTGTTGGCTTTTCATAGCTATGATAGAGATTGCTGTCCGGTGGACTGTTGTTTCATAGGTACACAAGATTGTTCACAAGCACAGTGTTACAGCATGAATTTACTGTCAGATTCTATAGTAGTGTTGCATCATCATAGCTATATCAGTTCTTTATTTCTCAAAAGCAGATAGGCTAAAGTTTTTCAAGGCTACTTCACAAAACTGGTTTCAGGTGAATAGCCATGTCTGCAGTAGAAGATTGATACCTGATGAAGATATCTGACAAAGGGAACTTAGACTCTCAAAAGCTTATACCCTGAAAATCTTGTTCTTTAAGGGGCTCCTGGACTCGAATCTTGGTCATACAACTAGTATCCCTTATTGAACTTTCCCTGCATTTCTGAGTTGTGAGAATTCAAAGTACTCAACACGAAATTAAGGCAACTAGCGTCTCCAAAAGTAATGGTGGCTAACATGCATACTAGTGGTTTTCAAATATCACAATTATCCCTAAGATCAGCCTATTAGAAATTTATTGCTGTGATTTTCGCAGTTCAGAGCATACCCGTAATGTGATTTCAGCGGGGGTGGAAAAAACCCTCTAGGACCTCTGTAATTAATGTCAATGCCTAGGAAGTGGAAATATTTTGTAAGAATGAAATATGGTGTGTTTGTTGTTGTTGTTATTATTATTAAGAAGTATTAGTATTAAGAATCTCATTATTCTTACAGCGAATGGATATGGACCGGCGTAGAGAGGATGCTCGAAATCCAAAACGCAAACCACGCTTGATGGAGGAAGATGACCTGCCATCCTGGATTATCAAAGATGATGCTGAAGTTGAAAGGCTTACCTGTGAGGAAGAGGAAGAGAAGATATTTGGGAGAGGATCCCGACAGCGCAGGGATGTGGATTACAGTGATGCCCTGACAGAAAAACAGTGGTTAAGGGTATGTGCTGTACATTCTGTTATAAACTGGAGAGGTGGCTAATTTGTATTTTTGAGTTCATAATTAAAGGAATGCAAGAAAAAGTGTGCTGAAGATAAGGTCAGTATATTCTTTTCAGCGTGAGCATATAATTATTCAAAGATTACCAAGAAAGCTTCTTTGCTGGAATCTAAATTGGAAGCAGATCATTTATTGCATTCTAGTAAATTGCTGTAGAAATGAGTAAGAGTCCAGTAGAACTTTAAAGACTAACAAAATCTGTGGTAGGGTATGAGCTTTCGTGAGTCACTGCTCACTTCTTCGAATAAATTGTAAATTGTGGCGTATTATGTGTCTGGTTGGGTAAATGATTAAAAATCTCCATGAATATTTCTACTGCCTTATGCCTGTTAGACATAGCTGAGATTGAAAAACCTGCCTGAGACCAGAAGGCTGCAATAAACCATTCAGGAATTAAATTCTTGTCCATCCAGATGTTTTTCAATTCTTCAGAGAACCCTCCTCCTTGCAGTTTCCCCAAATGCTGCAGCCTGTTGATTGCTTTTGTGAAAGGACATCTGGCTCTTAGTTGCTTGGGATACAGCGAGCACATGAACCTCCAGGAGTTTTGGCACAGTTGCATTCCTGTTTAGAAAACACAACTTTTCCCATATGCACTTGTGCCTTAACTTTTGTTGTCATTATTGTTTATTCTCTGTGGATGAAGAAGAGCCAAATATTTCTAAGTTATCAAAGTGAGGTATTATATGTACATGCAAAACTGCAGTATGTCTTTACTTGGCAGGGCTAGAACTGATGTACAAGCTACTTTCCAGAAACAGTGCGTTCAGTCTAAAGAACCAAGTAGAAAGAAAATAGTTGCTACTAGTGCTATTTTGCAAATGCTTACACAAGAGCTTGTACTGGGCACTCTTAGCCAGGCAGCAACTGTGTGTCCCTGGGTTCCATTCACAACTGCCTTGTGTGTCCCACCAGTAAGGGTACTAAGTAGCAATACCACTTCCTGCCTTTCTTCCATCCACCAGTGGATCACATATATATTAACAGGAGCCTCTTTATAAGGAATTGCCAACAAAGATTCAACTTATGTGTTGTTTCTCCCTATCCCCACAAATTTGTGTACATCTTGATTGGGCTAAGAGCAATTATAACTGGAGAACTTTTATTACCTCATAGAGACCGTCTCTCTCAGTATGTTCCTGTAAGG